AGCAGTTTAGTATAAGTGCACTGCCTGGTGGGGAAAGGGGTGTTGGTGTAGATGATGATGACGTCGACAATTATACACCCAGCCAAGGGGAAGGGCCAGCAAGGCAAAAAACCCACAGGCAATCTGATGCCCCACTAGTGAGATCACTCACCTACTGAAGCATGTCATTCTGGAAACTGTAGTTCCACAGCAGAACCAGAACTTCCCATGGCACAAGGGTCTTCAGGGGAAGCGAAAGCCTCGGATTGTGATGCAGGCCTCACCAGCCCCAACAGAGCAGACATGATTGATCCATCGTATGCTTCCACTGAGGGATCAAAATACTCCAGGTCACTTAACTAAAATTAGAGTCAACAGAGCCAGCCCTGCCGAAGCAGGGAGTCGCATGAGTTTGGAGGTAGTGCTGGGGAGACTACCAGGATCTATATATCCCACCTGTCACTTATTACCACAATTGATTGAAGACAACAATCCATCACCAGGAACAAAAAAACTTTGAAATAAGAAACAGAAAACTATAATACCTCCTAAGCACTAGACAAAAAACTGTGCTGTGTGTTGCAGATGAGGGTTTGGCCAGCAGCCGGGGCCACCCTCATGTAGTGCTTTTTTTTTTTACCTAGTGTCCTACTCCTGGGGAAGGGTGGCATAATAACCCACTGATCATGATCTAATGATCCAGCTGTGTCTTTTTTTCCTAAAACGGAAGAGACGAAAAAACCTGCTGATTGTAATACGAAATTCATATCTCATTTTTGTATCATGCTACTAGCTGGACTGCACTACGACCAGGAATAGCATTCACAGAGCAAATTGGGTCTTCTAATAGAAAAACGAAATTAACAGTGGATGGCAATGCACTGTAGGTCTGTATTGTATTAAAGTGACAAACACACACTGTTTAATTTACATTAGCCCTTCTCTTTATGTATATATGGATGATGGCACTGTATTTATTTACAAAAAAAATAAAAACCATCCAAGTACCTTTTTTAATAACTTATATACAGTTGTAATGTGACCCACCTTTCCCAGCCCATCTGCATTGCATTGGATTGGAAACATTGGTGGGAGCAGCTTCTAGTCCTCTGCTGCCAATCACATGTTAAAAAAAAACATAATTAATATCGAATAAATGTTTCAAATTGTTATACAAATATGTATTTGAACTCAAATCTAATATTTTTTGTGCAAAAACATACTGTGGGCTATCTAGGGGGAGGTTCTGCCAGTCACTGCCCATTTCACCCCCCCCCCCCCATCTAGCCTGTGTATGTATTTATTTCAGGTACTTATATAGTTCTGTCAATTTATGCAGCGCTTTACACATTAATATATATATATATATATATATATATATATATATATATATATATATATATATATATATATATATATATATATAAATAACATTCACATCAGTCCCTAACCCTCAATGGGTGTACAATCTAAGGTCCCTAACTTACATTCATACATTGTGTATATTGTTTGTATAAGATTATGACAGGGAGGTAAAGCCTCCGTCAATCAACATGTAATATTCCATCCCCATTATGTTTAGCTTACATGTGTGACTCAATAGTCATGTGGGCTGTACAGGAAATTAACAACTTAGAAGGGAACTGAAACTGGAGAATGCTCAGTAGATGTGGCAATGTCTGGTCAACACAATCTCAGGCTACAGCAGGAACAAAGACAAGGAGGGAGGAACAGTGAACAGCAGGATCAACCAGGTTTTTTGCAGAATACAGAAAATGAATTCCATAGTGACTGAGTGAGTATGAACAGCATGTACTGACAGTTTTTAATGATGTGGGTTTCATGACACTAAGCTTCTGGAGTAAAGCTAAAGTGTCCCAAATTTGTGGTTTGCATTGCACTGCTGGGTTGTTGCTTTTACATTATAAGACCAGATTTAAAAGTGTGACTGTGCTGTGTGAAATGCCATCTTGACCAGTGAAACTCAACGGCCTAGGCAGCAACATGACTACAGGTTAGGCCCCGCTGAGTAGTTAACTAGACAAGACCTGAGACCGCAATTTCTGTTTGCCATATTCAAAAGGTACATCATTTTATTTTTCATTCATTTAATTGTGTGAATGTGTTATTATTATCAGGTACTATAAAGAAAGGCTTACATTGTGTATATAATGAGTTTTAGTAGGATTGTAAATTAATGTTAAGATGAACAGTGCCTGGCACTACTGGAGATCCCTCAGAGACCGAATATTGGATTAGAGTCCAAATTGTTGGGACTCTATATTAGAGGATCATGGTTTCAAGGACCAGTCAATTATGTAAATCCAGGAGCCTCTAACTTCCAAGGCACTCTGCAGTGGTCACAGCTGTGCCCAGTCCACCTCTGTAAACTAAAAAAACCATCATCAACTCAATGATGAAGATGAGAGGGGAAGATATTCTGTAGTCCTAACACACTTCCCGTCCCAGGAAAAAAAAAAAAAAAAAAGAAAAGAACATCATTACATCTAAGGAAAGATTAAATGCAATCTCTTACATTTTTGTTGATTTGTTTGATTTAGACACAGTAGACTTAGGTTACATTGTAACAGCTGAATAGTTTCCCTCATATTCACTTTCTTATACAATAATGTCATCAACTAGGCAGATACAAAAATTGTCATAATAGAAAGAATCCTTTTATGGTCAAAGAGCATATTTACAATTGAAAATTTAGCTCAGTTACTGCAAACATTTCCCAGCATGCACAACAGAGTCCTGATAATATCTGATCATACAGCAGTTTCATTTTCCATGGCATTTCATTAGAGAGACCCTGTCAGGCATAGAAAAAAAATACAATACAATATATTGTATACTCACATTTCTAGCGGTCTTCCTGCGTCCTGTAATGAAGTAGTGGTTGGAGGAAGGGGCAACTACATGCAGCGGCAGAAACAGGCATCTGACATTCCCTTAAGTGTCAAATGCTAAAGTAAATGACAGAGGCTGCAGCAATGGAGTGAAGGTATAAGACACAGGCCACCAGAGAGGTGCGTACAACACACCTTATATTTTATTTTTTGCCTGGCAGGGTTTTTTAACTTCAACTGTTTCAGGAAAATTACAAAATACTATTAAAAGTAGGTGTATAGTTAAGTATAAATTAAAAATATACATTTTCTTTTCAATGTACCAGAGCTAAAGTAAATATTTTAACAAAAACAACATTTTAGAGTGTTACTAAACCCACAGCAGTAAAATCAGTCTGTATATGCAGCAAAGCATGCTAGTTATACTCACTGTGGAACCTAAGGGGTTAATCCTCTGCATTGTGTAAAAACGCTGTTTGATCTTGACTTCTCTGATCCTCCCCTTCTTCCAGTGTCCCCTCTTATCTCCTGATAAGACCTATCCTGTCGAGTTACTCTGCGCATGCTCAGTTTAATGTGTATTGCTAGAGAGGTTTTTTTTTTTTCTTGGGATAGTGCATGTGATCAGCAAAGGACCAATCAGCACTGTCCAGACAGGGGTTCTGCATCCTCCTAGAGCAAAATGAAAACTCCTCCTACAAGCTTTAACCAGTGCTCGGCTGAATACTGATAGAAGTCACAAGACTACTCTGTTTTTTAAGAAAAGGTATTTAGCAGTTTATATTTAGTACAAAAATTGCACTTCCATGTTCTGTGTACTGTGGGAGACCAGACAGAGTGAATACAGGGTCCTGGATTTAGTAACGCTTTAAAGTTACAGGTTCAGTCTGTCTTATCTGGAGATAACACAGTGGACATTTGAACAAAAGGAGGGGAAAAGAAAACAGGATCAAACAGCGTTTTTACACAATGCAGACAATTAACCCCTTACCCTTAGGTTCCACAGAGAGTATAACAAGCATGCTTTACTGCATATACAGACTGATTTTACTGTTGTGGGTTCAGTAACACTTTAAGCAATAAAGTTTTACAACGACAACTTAAGTTCAAGAATACAACAGATTTGACTCCCAAAGTTAAATATTTACTGGAGAAGTATAGAGTCAGAAATACTGTCTCCTTAAGCCTGGGTTCACATATATGCGGTATATCGCATGCGATTCGCACAGGAACTGCACTGCATTCCTGTGCAAATCGCATGCAATTTGTGTGCAGTGCGATTGGAGCCATACATTTTGTATGGCTCTAATCACACTGCACCAAAAAGGTGCAGGACCCGTTTTTGGGTCCGCACTAGAATCGGATCACATGGGTATTCACGCCTATGAAATCCGATTCTGCACATCGCACCGCGTTTTGTGGACTGCTTGCAGGGTGTTGGTAACTTAACATACATACCCGCAGCGGTTCACATGAACTGTGTTCGATTCTGATGCAGTGCAGAATTCACACAGAAAATGCTGCGAATTCCAAACCGCATCAGTCTGAACCAGGGCTAAATCACACAGAAATAAATTATTTACAGATAAAAAACGATATCTCCATACTAAAAACAAAGACAAATAGGGAGACTTGCCCTGAGATCCTTCATAAAAAACAAATATTAGTCAGTCACTTGGCTCCTTTCACATCTAGGTGTTTTGTATCATGGGCAGAATCTGCAACACTGACAAATCGTACCATGCTTGTTCAGGTGCCATTCATTTTCAATGGCACCTAAACACACTGCAATCGTGGCAAACCACATTGTGCAAATATTGTCACCCAAAAAAGGAGTAGGAGTTACTTCTGGGGCGACCAGCTTTGCGCAATTGCAGTGTTTTGGGATTGCAGGTAGAATAGCAGCGATTCTGCATACAAACCGCCTAGATGTGAACTGAGTGTTCACACAAATTCAGTGAACACTATATTAAAATAAAGAAATAAAACTAAAATAAAAAAGATTTGTGTCCAGGAACAACATATAAAAACACCATTCACACTTTGGAAAGGTTCTGCACACAAAAGGCAGAATGTGAGTTTTCTGTAAAATGTTGTTCTACTATACTCCTCAATACTGAGTTAGTTAAGGTCCATTTTTTTTTTAAATGCTATTGCATTTATAGAGGACTATCTGATCTGGAATGATGGGCTGTGTAGTGTATAGTCTACAGAGGCTCCCCACCTCTGCCTGTCCTCTGCAGGGGGACGTCTGTGGCGTACACGACGAGGTTCAACAACGAGTTCATAACTACTCCAACATTCATATCATGCTCAAAGCGTTCCAACATCTGTGAAATCTTCTCACGGGGCACTCGGTGGGTATTCCTCCTGTAAAAGAGGCACATACCTCATCAATGCCAATTTGACATTTCAAAATCATCAGCCTAAAGCAAAATCTCATTTTAGTCTGTTTTTTATAATTCCCTTCATTCCTCTACTGTCATTGTAATATTTTGGTCATTTGAAAAGCTCCTCACATCTTTATGAATGTGCACAGTGCACTTCAGCATAATTAACTGCAACTTGTTCTATCACACCAAAAATGGTATTCTGCTTCTGACAATATATGCGTTCCCACATACAGTAAAATTAAAATCGAAATAATGTGCCGTGCAATGTGATTCTACTAAAATATATACATTTTTCCACAGTCAAAAACAGGTGTAGTTGGGATATCTATTGAAAGAAAAAGGAATGTACAAAAATAAAGAACACAAGTACAGATGAAAACCTACTTAAATCCTTGTTGTTAGATTACTTATTGCCTATTAAAATAAGCCATCTATAATCTTTTTTTAAACACTAATGAGGGCACAGGTTAGACCATGAAAAGACGGCTCGTGGCACCTCACAGAAAGAGCTAAAGCCAAGGATCAGACAAGTAATACCTAAGCTGGCCATACACAAGTGGAATTTAATTAAAATATTTTCGTTCTTTTGATTTTGAATTATTACGAAAGTCAAAATGATATTTGTGTTCTATCACAGTTACGAGAAAATTTGAAGGAGCAGAATAGAAAAGAATTTCCTAGTGTCTGTGGTCTTTCATACAGAAAAGTCCATTCATTCCAAAATAGAATGTGAAAATACTTCAAAATATTATTACTTTTAAAACAACATTCATTAAGTCACTAAATTTATGGAGAATTTTCGAAGAAACATTTGTTCAAAAACCTACTAGTATAAGATTCCAGGCCAGCTTTATCCGGTGAAATGCTGGGCTGCTCAGCCCACCACAAAATTCTCCTTCTATCCACCCTGGTCTTTGGCAGTGAAAAGAATGCTTGTTTCAGCTAGAAGTGCAGTTTATCAATTAGCAAGGCCTTGTACATACGGCCTTCAGAATGTGAAAAAGCATGTGTACAGACACATACAGACACATGCTTTTACCAAGTATTTGCAAAGCATTCAAGCAAGCTTCCAGCAGCTTTATTGTGGTCTTTAGATCATCTTTTAGCTTAAATTTAGGAAAGTTAAACACAGATCATAAAATGGTAGTGATGCCTCACTATTAAGAATAACTTGCTAAAAGTCTGCTAGCAGCTTATTTTAAGCAGAACTCCAGTTAAAAATTTTATTTCCCCCCCACTGCATGGGTTAAGTGCTCGTTCTGTTGAGGGTCTCAGGGTAAAGCTACATGTACCCATTTCTCCCACCCTCTGGAAAACCACGCTCCCCCGCGTCCAGCGGTGAACTGTTCCTAAATCCTCACATCTATGGGCATGAGGATGTGAAAAACAACCCATTCACAAGACCGCTAACGTGCGGGGGGGGGGGGGATTAGGTAAGTATATCTTTACTTTCTGAGGTCCTAGATAGTTAAAAAAAAAAAAAAAAAAAAAAAACATTTAACCCATGCAGTGCAGGCACAGCCCCCACTGCATGGGAACATAAAAAATGTGCCTGGATTTCTTCTTTATAAGATGATCTCTGCATTTATTAATAATAATGTTAATAATAATAATAATTAAAAACAAAAAAAAAAAAAAAAAAAGAACCTTTGCAGTGTAATACTTACATTATTCCCAGTTCAAGCAGGCTTCCAGAGCTCTCCACTGTGACTGCCAGCCAGAGCACCAAAGAGAAGAGACTTTGGGGAGGGGGTACAGGGATGTGCGATTCCTATCGCCCAACACCTGGGACATGCAGTTTCTGGCGCTGGGCAACCGGTGTTTTTTTTTGTTTTTTCCCCTCCAAGTGTGTTTTTATTCCCAAAAACTTGTACAAAAAAAAAACCATTAAAAAGTCATATCATAAAGCCCCAGACATTCCCAAGATCACTTCTGCCTAATAAAAAAAAAAATGATCCCTTCATATTTTCCATCCTGGCAAAAATTTTTTTTTTTTCTTCAATTGTAATCAGGACAAGTAGATTATCATAAGGGACAAGTAGACTGAGACCCCAATTTAGTCCCTGGACAAGTAGTTTTTTTTTAAAAAAATGTCCACATCCTTGGGTAGAGGAGGAGGGCGGGCCCAAAGAATGCCAAAATAAAGTACTACATCTTTTCCTCAACCCCTAGATTTAGCAGGCATTTAAATCTCTCAATGTGGGGAAGCCCTACTGCAAGAGTATTTTTTTCTGGTAGCCAGAAGTGGGGTTTTAACGTAACAGTCGCACTTTTATTACAATCGATGTTTAGAGAATAATTATAGCAAAAAAACATATAATTTGAGTTTTGTGAAAGCTTGCTGTTCACACTGTTCCTATACAAGATGAAGCCCATCTTACAAAGTTGTGACTCAGTAAAATCACTTAAAAGGCACAGTTATCTGCCACCAAAAAGACCAAAGTTGACAAACAAATATATTGAGATAGCAGTTTGCACCATAAACAGCATCTTACTTTTCCAATTCATGTGGGTCTAGTTTCCACCATGTATTCGGTTCAAGGAAGTCAACAGCATAACCTCTGTCTAAAGCCTGGAATAGAAAATTAAATATGACAAAATGCAAAGAAAGATGCACAGCTGTATTCTGAAACAGTAATGTCCTTGTTATTTCAAGTAAAACCCTCCTTAATTATTTTTCCTACACATAATTCTCTATCAAGTGGACCTAAAGTACAAACAGTTCCATCCCTCACAAAGAATAACCTTCCAGCATCATTTCAGCACAGAGAATCCTAAAACAGAGGATGGATTCTGAGAAGAGAATTATTTTTCTACATGCTCGGCACCGAAAGTCTTGCGATTAAATGACAGAACCCCAAAACATTAGGTCTCAGGCCCCACAACAAAACCTACATGTAACAGAATATCCAAAAACATTTAGCATAGTAAAGATAAAAAACTGTATAGAGAAATTAGCTTTTAATGAACTCCCAGTAATCTGGAGCCTAGGTTATCAAAATGCATCTTGGAAGACGGATGTCAGGCTTCTTCCCCTAAGCTCCCCTAACTTTCTAGCTCTAGCTTTCGAAAACAAGAACAAGGAATTCAGAAAGAAAAAAAAATATATAATAGTAATAAAAAAATAAATTTATACATAAAAGTATTCATTATCATCACTACATGTTTTTGCAGACATCTATTTATGTTAGCAGTTCTAGTAATAACAGCCTTTGATGTACAGAAATGACTAACTATGACATTCATTAGTACTTCCAAATCACTTTAAAAGAGAATTTTTTTTTTTTTTAAATTATACTTACCAAGGTGGATGCAGCATCGATCCGATGCTGCATCTTTCCCCTGCCGCTTCTAAGGGTGAGAACTGAGTGATCAGAAACCACTGATCGCTCAGTTCTCTCCCTCCACTCAGAGCAGACAGCTGGGACTGTCAATCTCCAGCTCTCTGTTCTGTCCCCCCAGTGCTCACTGGAGTGCTAGACTGTAGAGGGGGTGGGAACAGGTGACTTAGGCTCTCAGCGGATTGCTGGGAGGTTGAGCCAGGTGCCAGTTCAGGGATCTGGGTGGATCCTGACTTTAAAGTTGGGATCTTACCCCAGCTTGGATCTGCTGAGTGATGTCAGCAGACAGCGGACTTTATCTGACTGTTGGCGGAAAATGGGTCACAGGAGTGCAGAATGTGATCCACAGGAGAAGTGTAGCCAAAAGAGCGTTGGCTGTACATCTCCTTTAATATTAGGTACAAAAGTACATTCTGTTCGACATAAATATTTGGGGGCATCTAGCGGCTGTGCATCCCTCTGAGCCAAATGGGGCACATAGGGGCATCTAGCTTCTGTGCTTTCCTCTATGCCAAAGTTTATGGCAGGCTGCAACTGGACAGGACTGAAAACTGTATCAGGTGGTACTGGCATTTGGGCCCTATGTGTTCAGGGACAAATGCCCAGAAAGCAGAAAATCTGCATTCAGGGCTTTTGTCCATGAACACACCAGGTCCTAATTATGAGTACCACTCTCTACAGTGTTCAACCCCTGCAGCTGCAGCATATTTCAGCCTACTACTGTATAGAATTTGACAGGCTGCAGGTAGTGGGTCTGGATTCTGCACCTCCGCTTCCCCAGGCACACTAAAATGCTGGGAGGGATACACAGAAGCTAGACACCCCCGTTTGCAGGTTGCCCAAGGCTGTTGGTATATTACATACAATCAGACAGATCTTGCATTGTAGATTTGCAATAAGATAAGAGGATCACCAAGGAATGGAGGGAAGCAGTGCCTACATATGTACTGAGCGAATACTGTTGGTGCCACGTACATTGCTAATTACAAATCTTACAAAGAAAAAAGGTTTTTGATGGATTTACCATATTGATGTTTACTAAATGAATAAAGACTGTTTGTTTAGCTAATAAAGTGAAACTGTGCTCAGTTACGGCAGCCTTTTTCAACCAGGGTGCTCAGGCACCCCGATTTCTTCAAGGATGCCTTGGCAAAATACCTAAAAATTTGCCCAAGGAAAGAGGGGAGGTTGGAGCTGGCTTCTGTCAAGTGAGCAGCAGGTGGTTGGAGCTCCGGCCAAGACACATCATCCTACAGCCATCCTGATAAACAGAGGGCCGTGATACTGTACCCCACGGAGAGCTGAAGAGAGCTGAAGTTGAGCACCTCAACATGGTGAAAATCGGGCAGGCTGGAGGGAAATCCTCAGGAGAGCGCCTGGCTAGGTTTGCCTGGGGCTCTCAAGATGGCTGCCCCGGTCAGGAGACACGTGGAGAGGAGGAGATGGAGGAGCTGCCAGAGTCAGTCATTCTCTGTGGCTGTGAGCACTGTGCTGCCGGGAAGCTCCGTACCCAAGAAGGATCGCTCATCTACAAAGGGACAGTCGGTGGTCAGTCTGCCAGGGTCAGAGGAAGGTGGAGGGGACAGAGGAGAGGGAGAGCAGGAGCCATCGCTGAAGTAGATTGTGTCAGCCATACACCTGTCAGACAACCCTCACAGATCATATTGATGGGCTTAAAGTTGACCTGTCATTTCTAAAGCAAGACATGCAAACAGTTAAGGAAAAAGCTGCTGAGGCCGAATAAAGGATCAGTGACTTGGAAGGCATAATCCATCCTTTAGAGGGATCTGAACGCTACGAAGGAACTGAGAGCTCATACTGGCAAGCTGGGAGATAGAGGACGTGAGTTTTTCAGCGTTTAACATTTTTGTATTAGCGTTTAGCTGCATTTATTTCACGTTTGCGTTTAAGAGGTTTTTTGGTTTGCCTGCAATTTACTGCATTTTTCAGCGTTAGAGCGTTTTTACAACTAAAAAACTCCTATAGAAACCCACTAGTTCTGGGGTTTTTTTCTAGCCAAAAAACGCTGATTACAGTCTATGTGTGCATGGACACATAAGATAACATGCTGGGGAGTTTACTGGCTGTAGAGAAAAACTTAAAAAGCCAAAAACAGCAGCTGTAAAAATGTCCAGTGTGCATGAGGACTAAATATACATGTTCTTCAGATTAAAACTGATCCGACGGGGGGGGGGGGGGGGGGGAGATTTGTTATTTTGGCCTAAGATTTTTAGCCAGTGTTTTACTATCGAGTCTCCACATTCCCCCACCATTCACTTTTGCAGTAGTGGAAGATATTTTCTCAGTGGTGATCTCTGTGTCAGAGGGGGGCTTTACTGCTCCTGGGTGATTTTACTGTAGTTTCTAATGCTGCTCTGGATTGCCAGGAATGTGTATCCGAGTATCATCCTATGTTGGCAACGTGGCTGGAAACCCATGAGTTAGTTGATGTTTGGAAACATAGGAATCTGGAGGTGAGGGGGCAGTTCTGCCATTCACAAACTCACTGTACACTATCTCGAATTGACATGTTACTTACTACGGTGGATGGTCTTTCATTGGTTTGCCATGTTAAGTATCTACCGAGGGCAATCTCTGATCATTCTCTCATGGAAATCAGTTTACAGCTGGGGGTACGTTCAGGATTTAAAATTGGCATATGAATGCTGGGTGGTTGCAAGAAGCATATGTGAAACTAGGTTGTCTGGGAGGCAAGAAAACTGTTCTAAATCTACTCTGTTCCCACTGGATGGACAGAGGCTGTTGATTTCAGATTTAGGGTGCCCCATTGTGATATCGGATAAGTTTAATAATCTCGGGATTACTGTACAGCTTCTAGTAAATTAATATCTAAACAATCTCTGGCCTATTGTACAAGCATTTAAAGAAAGGGTTTGTAATTGGAAGGTCCTGCCCCTGACCTTGTTGGGAAGAGTAAACTTGTTCAAAATGATTTATCATCTGAAGTTTCTGAATGTTCTCTCCAATGCACCCATTTATATTCCTAAAAAAAAATGTTTCAAATGTATTAATTCTTTGCTTGGTTCCTTCTTATGGGCTTCTAAGCCTCCCCAGGTATCCCTGGAAATACTTCAATTGCTGGTACATAGGGGGGACTGGCCTTGCCTGACCTATGACTATTATATTGCCTCTCAGTTGATGTATGCACATTGGAGAATGTTTCCTCAACTAAATAATGCCGCCACTGTGGTGGAGGCGGTAGTGGCTACATCCTGTGAAGCTCTTCTAAATTAGTTTTATTGAGGATAGGTTCCATCAAAAGATGGCACGGCTATCCTATCGGTATCCAAAAAGATTCTGACCATATGTGTGAAAAATGTTTCAGATACAGCCCTATCAATGTCTCCAAGTGCTTCTCTTTGGTGTAATCCAAATTTGATTGAACTTTATAAAATTTGAGGGGGGACACCACTGGGCCCAATATGGTATCAAATATGCTCATCATATTTACAAACATGGTAGGTTTAAGTCCTTTTTGCAACTAAGGTCGGAACAGGGTGTACCAGGTTCTTGGTATTTTCAGTATGCTCAGCTTAAGCATGCTGCAATAGCTCAACATGGCCCTGGGGAGGTTGTTTTGAACAACACCAGATTGGAAACCCTTCTCCTACAGCTGAAACATATTAAATTGGTGTCATTATATTTTTCAGAATTAACTCTAATAAATAGTAGGCAATGTCATTGTACACGTGAGCGGTGGTTTAATATTATTCCGGATCTTGCCACTGTTGTGGGTACAGTTATTTCCTCTAGGGACAAAATTATATAATTGCGTTATTTACATCAAATGTACTACACATTGCAGCGTCTATTTCATATAGGGAGATGTACCACAGCCACTTGTCATAAGTGTCAGGATAGTACGGGATCCTTTCTACACATGGTATGGGAATGTTCTAAAGTTAGGCCCCTGTGCTCTGAAGTCACTGCATTCATAACGGATACATTTGATTTGCCTAATGTGTGTAGTCCTATGGTGTGCCTTTTAGGAGTACTTGAAGGTGAAATTATGACTACCGATACCAAACTTTTTCTGAGAATCCTGTTTTTTTATGTACGAAAGTTGATAGCGTTAAATTGGATACGTATTGATATTCTTGACCTGATGGCATGAAAAAAAATTGGTTAACTGGAATCTTCCGCTGTATGAGATGACGTATGAAGAAAGGGGGTGTCCGGGGAAGTTTGGAAAGATATGGTCCAGGTAGGT